ATTGGGTGGGATAAGTCTAAAACTATCACCACTAATCGGCGTTACCACCAGCGCCTTTGTTTGGAAGCCTGGCACATTAACTTCGCCCGCGCTCCTTTAAATCGTGATGATGGCGGCTTACTTCCTGACGCCTATTTACACCTTTTCAGAAAAAAAGGCTGTTAATTAGTGAGCGTATAAAACGACCTCTTGTTGCAGCATTTAGATCACCCCTGATGAAGGCACTAGGCAGGAGTGTCGAAACATTGGGTCTATGAATTGTAACTTCCCGGTAACCTTCATTAAATCTTTAAGCCAGAGTAGCATCAAACTACGTCTGATTGTCCGCCTGGTTGCCATGTGAACTTTAATATATGATTTGTTCAGTTGCGTTTGGTTGCTCCGTAATTGACCAAAAATATGGAGTAATTGTGAGGTGCCTTTATCAGCTTTTGTCTAACTTTGTGAGGAGTTGTCGGAAAGAAATGTGACAGCTGTTTTTGTTGCTCTTTTCCAGCTCACCAGATTCATTTGAGTTGACTGTGACAATTTGAAATGAATCATATATTATTTAAGCTGTCCATATTTTTGGTGTTCCATGGTGGTCGCAAAAACGGAGTCAAGGAGTATGTTTCATGGCACATCCTACTAGATGAGGTGCTTGAGGATTAGAATACCGAAACTTTTGCCACAGTTGTGTCATAAGGGACACAACATTTCGGACGTGAAGCCAAATATGAAAGAAATGACAACACAGCCATCTATTTTGACTTGTAAGGTCTACAGAGGTACACAGAAATTCAAGTTCTTTCGTGGAGACCTTTTTACGTATCTTGGAGATTGGTGAATCAAGATAAGAAGCGGGGAATTGTAAAATATTCACTTTTAAACTTGATTGAATTAAAATCAACACAAACTCAAATGAATGATGTGGAATTTTTGATCATGAAGAGGATATATATATATCTTATTAGACATTTTGGTGTGTAGTATCGCTGAGTATTTTTACGAATTGTACCGTATTTTGACGAACCCGTAGGGCGAGTCACATACAAACTACGAGTAAGAATACTCAGCGATACTACAAACCTAAACGTCTTATAAGTTATTTATTACCCAACTGCTTTTTTTTCTGCTAAGTCATTCAGCTCATTTCTCATAAGGCGAGAAAAGCAAAGCGGATAGAGAAGCGTGGCGCGCGCAGCCGACTGATTGAACAGATTTTTTTTACAGTACAAAATATCCAATTGTCCAAATAACCGTGCAATATCGCAAGACATTTGCATTCTATTCTCGCGTTATTTGCACTCTACTTTGTGCAGTTGGGTAATAAAAATGGGTACTTAAGCCATAGATCTGACTGCACAGTCCCAAATAAGAAGGATCAATCCGATATCAGATGGAGCCCCTAGAAATCGTATGTAACCTTCCTTAATTAAACTGCAGAAGCCAGTTCAATGCCCAACTTTCACGATCTGGAATTGGGGCATGCTTCTCCGTACCTCTTTCCTTTTTATGTCGGCAAATTTTAAATTTCAGTTAACTATTTTTAATCTCCTTTGGCAGTATTTTAGGAAATGTTTGAAAGATGAAGCAGAAAGAGTAGCATCTCATTCTGGTCCTGAAATAAATCACCGCGTAGCCTATGAGCATGTGCTTATTAATTGTGCCTCAGCGCGAGTTTCTTCGCCCGCGGTAGGTATAAGGCTTCGAGCAACGCGATCCTGCGAGGGGCCTGAAGGGGGGTTAAGGTTACTAGTACCAGACCCCGGCAAATTTCTCCTCGACTAGTCTCAAATCTTCCTGTGAGTGCAGAAATCCATGTCCAACAATGTGTATAATAAGCTACTCCTCTCCTCGATGAAACCATGAAAAAAAAAAATTGTCTTGTTGTCCCCTTGGAACGTGGGGTGGGATCATAAGAGAACCGGGGTAAAGAGAGAGGCCCGACTGAGGCCCTGGGTTGAGGAATGTTCTCACATGAAGTATAGAGCTTCGAGCCTCCAGTAATGGCGGACGGTTGAACACAGAAGCGCGCGCTATGATGATCGACTTACGACCGTACAGGAAACAGCTGCCTGCCTTGGCCTTGTGGTGTTTTTGCGGAACCTGCTTTTATTCATTTGTAGCGTATCAAATGTATGGCGAAAGAGGACGAAATAATAGGGTAAGTTGATTTCAGGTTCGAACAACGTTGAGTTAAATTAAATGTAGAGACGGGAAAGGTGATATTCTGGATTTTTAATTCAGGGGAAATTGTCGAACTTGCGGTGTTGATACTCATTTAAAGGTTCTTTTAAATAATACCTTATTCATTCGAAACTTTGAATGTGATGCAAATTTGTAATTCGAGCGTAATAGTGCGTTGATCAATTCGAGGTTTCTACATCCCAACCACCAGGCATTTGAACTTTGAAAATTTAATATTCAAACTCGCGTTCCCCAGGAAAAAATGTGTTTGCATGCCCCAAACAAATGCCGGATTTGACGTTTAATTTTTTTTGTAATAAATGTAAAACACAACCATGTAACTGGATAAAAAGTGACATGTATCGTCATGAAACAAACAGTTTTCACTTGCCTATCAAAGGAGGAAACACTGCTTTTCAAGTCAGTTAATCTGGATCTAATTATCAAAGTAAGATTTTTAAGACAACTTACAGGACAAAAACAACAACTGTTTACTGAGCTGCAGAATGATAATGACAACAAATCTGACAAGAAGTGGAACACAGCTGAAAAAATTTTTAGAACATTTTTTGGAAATTATTTTGTAGGAAATTCCATTATGGATGACAGGCAAATGCCCTTATGTTGCCTGGTGGAGGGGAGGGGGATGATGATGTATCTTCAAATTGATTGGCACATGATGTGAACACATTGGCTTATAAGTTAAAGGGGGTTAACCATTTAACTCCCAAGATCTAATGGATAATTCTCCCCTTTAACTGCTACACATTTTTTCAAAAATTGGTTGTGAGAATTTTGTGTTTGATAACAAAAAGAGCTCCTACTTAATGAGTTTGAGCATTCTCATTACTTGTTTGCTAGATAATGTATGGATATTAGAGGGAAATGTTACATGTTAATCACCCCTGGGAGTTTAAGGGTGAAGATTCTGAAGGATATACCTTAGTTGTAACAGATGAAAGTGTGAACCTTTTGCTTCCTTTAAAATGTGTGTTAAATTTGCTAAGCTCAGAGAAAATGTTTTTATTTTGGCAGACAAAGCTTCGTGTTATGCTTGGGCTGGAATCTCCTGAAGCTACTGGAGAAGATAAGGAGTGGGAGACGCTTATAAATGAAACAACTTATAACAAGAACGATGACAAGGATCTCAAGTTCAGATGACAACCTGCTGCTATTTCCTCAGAGACCTTCATAAGGATATAGGCCAGCAACTGTATGGGCAGTTTTATGTGACAGTTACATTGTGTATATGAAAGGTCTTGTGGTCAACATTAATATTTGTGTCGCTGTATTTTGGTTAATTTGAATAGAGACACATTTTTGAAGGTAATTATCAGGCACATCGCTGTGAGTTGTTGATTAAAAAGTATGGCTGAAAAGAAGTGAAAGGTTGATGTACAAGATCCTTTAGAAAAGCAGTTTTATGGAAGCTCAGTGGACAATGTTGAATACAGGGTCTTCATTAAAGAAATGTAGTTGCAGCAGAATAGTATAAAGTAACAGGAGATTGCACTTTACTTACGGATGAAAAATGTGTTTGTGTTTATCAGAACAGGGGTGCATGCTAAAAAATAGGGGCCTGTTCGTTACAGAATGCAAAAAAAGTTTTATCAGTGGTATCCGTCTTTCTCTCTTTTGATCTTCTAGGCTTGGAGGGAAGGTAACCACAAATTGAAAAAGAAGGGGCTTGGTTTCCTCTCTTGTCCTGGTTTTATCCCAATCTCTTCTTGCTTAAAGTTTGCTCATACTGAGAGAACCACAGAACACTAACATTGTACAATTCAAGGAACGTGGTGGGGTTGTTCCTTTTAAATCTCATAGGGGATTAACGAGTAACTTCCCCCTATAGTGTCCTTACATTAACTAGCCAACAGGTTATGAGAATATTCAAAACTTATCAGATAGAAGCTGTTATCTTGATCCAACACTAAATTCTTGTAACAAATTTGTAAGGAAATGTATTGTAGCTAGAGGGGAGAATTAACAATCAGATCTTGGGAGTTAAACAGTGAGAATGGCTGAAAAAAACTCCTAATGTGTGCAACACCAGATAGGTTTGTTGAACAATTTATTTGAGAACAAAACCCACTGAATTCTACCATTTCTCTATAATTTGTGGATTAATAAATTATAACTTAAAAGTTTTTGTAACAAAGTAAGTTTTGAGCTAAAAAGTTTTGAATTTTTTTCTACATGAGCTTAAACTAAGTCAAATATCAAAGTCTTCAACAAATATATACAACAACTTGCTGTTGTAGTGTCAAAAATGAATAGAACAACCCATTGGTATTGGTAATGTAACTACTCTTGTGAGAAGCCTTTACTACTATTTTGGAATGTTTTACTATACATGATAAAAATACTTTTACACTGGTTTTTCCCCATTTTTTGCTGTTTGACTAATTGTCAAAAGGTATTGTTTGCTCACTTGTTCCTGTGCTTGTTTTTTTTTTTTGGAAAATAGATCCTAAAACATTATTTTTACTCCCTATATCAAACCGCTAAAAAATCTTACAATGGTGATGAGGATTTAAAATATACACATCAAGGCAAAAGCAATATTATCCTAAAATTGGGTGAACATTCTTTTCCACCAGTTTATAGAACGTCTGAGTTTGGACGTTTCAGCTTTGAAGTTAAAATTCCAAGTAATTTGAAAAAAATAATCGTTTTGTCTTGCTACTAGAAGGCTGACAAAAGGCTTCTAATTTCATCAAAGAAACTCGTAGAGCAGTTTTCAATCCATTGCCGAAAGCGATTCAGAATTGCTTTGGTTAAGCTGCTTTTAGCTCTGTGATTGGTCTAAAAAGCTCGAGCCAACCGATCAAATGCAGGTATAAACTGAATCCTAACTTGGTCACTCGCGTTTTCCTGCGCTTCGAGCAGGTTCCCTGTTTTTACTTTGAGTTTTCATTTGTAAATGATGACGTTAACTTTGTTCTGATTGGCTTTTTTGATTACTTTGGTTTTGGCTTTTCGACACCCAATTGAAATCTGTACTATCGATGATCGAGATTATGGTCAAGTTTTCCTGTGGTCAACTAAGTGTATGAAGCGCTTTCAATAAGAAATTAGTTTGTTTTGAAGGTGATGCTTGGCTTACCAACAACAACAATAAAAAAACTACAACGCCAGCGCGAACCAATCAGAAAGGATTAGTCCAGAATGCACCAAGCTCGTTCAAGGAAAACCTCAGAAAATGTTTCGATTGGTCAGCGCATTTTTCAGCGCTTTCCATTGGCTGCGTGCGTTCGAGTTTTTACGCCTTTTCTTGTTAGTTCATAGTTCACAGTTTTTTTTTCAGAGTTTTAACAGTGCATTGATTTCGGTCTCTTTCCCTGCCTGTGTCCCGCGGTGGTTTTTCTCGTGTTAACAGAACTCCACACCTCGGCATAAGGATTGGTGTGCGGGTTTTGACTCCGTTGAAGAAACTTTCGTTTGATTGTTATTGTTGCATTCTTTCTTGTGTATCCTCGCAGCATCTTCTCTGCCTCTAAAAACGTTGCCCCCTCTAAACTTTCTCCGCTAAAATCAACAATTTCATCTCCACTCTGTAAAAATCCTTGGGCATTCCCCGTGGGTGAGACTTCTGCAATGAAAATTGGCAGATCCCCGTACGGGGAACATACACCCCCTCCGACAGAAAATCCCCACTCTGTGACTGTACTTTCCCGCTTTACCTCGACAACGATAGTTTTCTTTTCGATGTAATGCTTTCCTGTAAACTTCCGAGCCGAAGAGCTCGAGTTTTGATTCAACGACCAGCTGGATCCCGAAGTAGGCGCCATATTACGCCGAACACGAGTCGAGGAGCTTCGGCTGACTTTTGCTGGTCTCGGAGATGCGAACGAATCCCAGGGGAGAGGTAGTCGCTGCTTTATAGTGAAAGCAGGCCACGTTGCTCTTACATCACATCGTTTGATGACGCTCCTTCTGCTAGTGCTTGAACGTCTGAAGGTTTTGGTGAGGAAGAATGACGTATGTTCATTCTCGTAAATTTTCGGCGGTTTATCAACTGATCCACCTCTTTCCCAGTCCTTTGACAGGGGGTATATCTGAGGATGAGAGCAGATTATGTCAGAAAGATCAACCAACAAAGACTACTTCACTCTTCTAAGCCGTAACAATGCAAAAGCAATCCCAACTGTTTCTTTCAGCCTCGGCTTGCATTAGCCTTTCAGAAGAGCTGCATAATACTAAGCAAGTAAACCGCTTGAATACGATGCAAACTGTGTCGAGGCTTTTGAAACTGGGCTGAATTATGTGAAAACTGTTCTATTCAAACTATTGAAGGTTTACCTCCGTAGTATATTTAAAGTTGAGCCTCTAAAATGGATAAAGGGGTAAGTTTCTAAAGAAACTGTGGTGCTGCGTCGGTGGGAGAGTATAGCAGGTAATTTTGTGTTAACAACTGGGTTGAAAACGTAAATTAGCCACCGTAAAGGGTAAAAAAGCTGACGTTTCGAGCGTTAGCCCTTCGTCAGAGCGATTGCTCTAAAATGGAGCTAAGCCCAGCCTAACGAACTAGAAAAACCTACCCCTGGTTCTTCCCGACTTTTCTTGTTTCCATTTTCATTCTTCACCTCAGGGTTTCTTCTTTGTGTTTCACCTCTGTCATTTTCACCTTCTGCTGTCCCCAAGAAAGACGAGATGCGAGAAACTCGCTTGACAGGTTTAGAGTACGGACACTTCTTTTTTGTGACGTCAATTACGGATGAGAGGGGCCTGGTAATGACACTCGAGTTGAATGCTTCCTCTACAATGCTTCGTCTTTTCTTTGGTGACACGATATTGTTGTTTACTTTCTTGTTGTCTTTTTTCTCTTGGTTATAGCGTTCCATGATAGAGCGATTCGCGTTCTTACTCCTTGCTACAACCAGCGTCACCACAGCTGGAAGAGACCTGAAGATGGTTAGCGCCTGTGCATGCGTTTTCCCGCGAAGGGCCTGGCCATTTGCCTCCAGGAGTTCGTCTCCAGTTCTGACGCGGCCCGATTTGGACGCGGAGGAATTGGGCAAGATATCATTGACGTAATGATTTTCCAGCGGTGTGTCAGCTCCGCCCACCAAAACGATACCAAGAAAACCATTCTGGGGCTTGATCAACTGCGCATGACGAAAGAAAAAAACTACCATAAACTTTTGTTTTTAGAAGCCCGCTCAAACTTCCGAGGGAAATGGAGTTTTTCAGGATAGCGGGGAGGTGGGGGAAGGGAAACTGAGTAAGCTGGAAGTAAAGAATTCACTAATAATTTTCGAAGGAGATACCTCGCATTCGCGTTATGAAGGTTCTACTGCACATTTGTTTCAATGTTCCTCGTGTGTTACTATTGTATGTACTTTTAATCCACCGTAGTTAGTTTAATTTGAAATTCAATGTCTGACGTCTGAATATTTCTAAATAATTCACATCTATTTTAAAAATTTTCCTTTCATATCAACATATCGCAAAGCACTTAGATTTTCCAGTTTGAGAAATATATAAATCTTCTGTATCAAAGAAAACAGTGCGCTGCAGCTGTGTAAACCATCAATTTTTTGTTCTATTTTTAGTCGTTCATTTGTATTAAGGCGGTAAGTCGAATTTGTATACGATCTGATTAATTTTAATGCAATTACCTTGAATTTTCTTTATCAAAGAAAATCTCCGCCGTAAATTGAAATCGCCGTTTTAGTATCAATTTTCCCGCCGAGCCGTTACATTACTTCACTTTATAGTTAATGAATTTACATAGATAAATTATCATAATAATGCCAATATCCGACACGTGCTCGAAGGATAAACAGGTGCTGTGTAGAAGAGGACGATACGAACAATTAAGTACTACTCCGAAACAAATGTCCATGCTTCTATTTTGGAATTCAAGAAAACAACAAACTGATCTCTAGAGTTCCCCTTCTGGTGACAATGATGGTGCAAATGTTGAGAAGTTGGAATATGAAGAAGGAAGCTTGACATGTGCAGAAATTTGATGTGTATCATAGTGATTAAGAATGATGTCTGTGTATATACTTCATCATTTTATTTCCTATTCATGTTTAAGTGCTCTAGTAGATTAAAAATATCAAACTTGATGATGCCACTTCTTGAATCGGTCTTGAAATCAAAGAGATTCAAATCAAAGCTAACTCTCTCCGTTGGTTGCGTTCTTTGTTATCTTAACTTGTTACGTATCATGTCCAACAATGCCTCAATTGCTGCTTACATTTGGCAACTGACAAGTCATTTGAAGCCGCAGGGGCTTCAAGAGACAGATGTTTTATAATAAGCATTTAGAAAGTACAAAGAAAATTAATCGATTTAACAACATATCGAGCACGACACGCGAACAATGGACATCAGGTCGCGTGGCATAAAAGACTAAACAGCCACACAGAAAAATTTTATTTGTAGTCAGATTTCTTGTCGATTTTTTTCCACTGAAACAAGACTAGCTTCGCATATAAAGGGAAAACTCTAGCCCTAGATGTGTGAAAAGTAAAGAAGGCAAACAAAATATTTAAGATTTACAAAACTCATCATTAAGTTATGAGTTACAAAAAACGTAACTTGTGTTGTTCGGTACACACCAAAGTAACGAATAAGGAAAATTTATTTTCGAAAAGTTTACTTTTTTTTCCATCCATGATTTGCACTGTTCGAGCACTGCACTGAGCTCGATTTGCCCATTTGCTATACCTGCGATCGAAATAAACTCTACCCTACTGGGAATTGAGATGTACCTTAGTCGAGAAAACAATGAAAGAGCTAAACGGTTTTTTTTTCCACAAACTTGGAACCTCTATGTTATCTCAGTTTGAAAAGATGACATGAACACTGATCCATCATTGGTAATACCGCCGTGAAGCTCTATGCTGTAGAATATTACTGATGACTTTTTTTCAAAAGATTTCTACCAAAGTAAATAAGATCTGGAATGAATTGTGTGCCATGTTTATTACTCTTTGTTGAGGTGCTGTTTCCACTCCCCGTATTTTGTTTAAAAATTTAATGCTGTTAGTCAGCTGGATTCATCAAAGCCTTTTACTTCAATGACTCTGGTAAAACTTAAGATAAAAAAGATCGAACTCGCTTTGCCAATTTAAGAACTTCGAAACGCTTTTACTTTTTGATGTCAATATCTGAATTTCGTAAAAGATCGCTTTCGGCGGAAGTTTCT